GGGCTCAGCTAATTCTGTAAGTTTTCGAGCATCTTAAAGTACTTAATTGTGTTTTACCACCATCATTTTTGTTCTCTTTTATTATAATGTATCTATGCTTTTATTAATAAATGTACATATTGTATATAGTACTAAGCTATTGTGTTTCCTATTCTCTGTTTGTGCTTTGCATGTAACATATACCATTAGACAACAAAACTTAGACCATCGTATCTTCCTTCTCGCCAGAGGAATTAGGGACTACAATTGCAACCATCAGAGGAGAGGATTTTTTCAGTGCAGGTGGCCAGTATTATTATCAAGTTAATACAAATATTATCATCATATTATTACTATAAAGTACTAATAGTTATTATTATTATTATTATTATTATTATTATTACAGTATTATTATTATTATTATTATTATTATTATTATTATTATTATTACTATCAGTTAATTGCCAGGGGCGGATCCAGAATTTTTCAAACGGGAGGCACAACAGTTTCGGAATAGATAAGTGAGTAGTACATACATTAATATGCATTGAAATTTTTAAGGTTTAGTGGCTAAAAGTGGGTGGGGGCACGTGCCCCTGGTCCCCTACAGGATCCGCCCCTAATTATCTAATGAGCTTTTTGCTATACTGTCTGTATGTACATTGTTATATTCAGCCATGAAATTTTTCCCTTAGTAGGATGAATAAAGTTTTCCTCGTATCGTTGTATTCTTGTACATAGACAAATAGACAAACAATAATAACAGTACTCATATACCAATATAAAATGTAAACAAAATAAAAGATAGCAGAATATAAAAAGTATCAGTTATATTTTAATAAATTTTTATATCGTCTTTTCATTGTTTGTACATTTTACATATACATATTATATATATATATATATATATATATATATATATATGCGTGTGTGTGTGTGTGTGTGTGCGTGTGTGTGTATATGTGTGTAGGTAGGCTACATGAGGATAAGGACAAGGATTTATGAGGATAAGTACCGGTAGTGGTTTTCGCCAATAAAGTGTTTCTAGTGTCCATTTGCTTCCTGTTTTTTTTAATTCATATTACTAAACAAGCGTGCACCTCTATGATAAATCTGTACATATACTATTACATGGAATCGATCTAGTCGATGATGTTTCTTGTATGTCACGATTGTATAATAAGACTCCAGTTTTTAAAACAAACGCCGGACAGTTTAACATAATTAACGACATTAAATATTTATCAAATCACCGAGACAGCGTTAGAAAAAAAATCACTAAATTCCTTTATTTGATTGGTTTGCTTAATAAACTTTAAAGTTACATCTCTAAACCTCTGGCCAATGACAATACGATCAAATATATAAAATATAAAATATATAAAGAAGGAAAAGATAATATTTATACATTTCTTCGATCGATCAAATAAATAGTTAAAAAGAGTACTTTTAAAAGGTTATCTATTTTTTTAACAATTTTCATTTAAAATATGATATATTAAATTGAACATAAACAGTCTAATAGGTCTATATATTCACAACAAAGAACATTTGTAAAGCCCTAACAACTTACGGATTCTTTTAGAATAATTAACGGTGTTGATAATGAGTTCTTAGATTCTACCATGAAATATAAAAATTAATATCAAAATAAGTATATATTGCCTTGTATTTCAACTGACGCGATCAGGTTTCAATTATTTATCTTCTTTCTCCTCTGACTTTTGAAATTTACTTGGTTAAGCGCTCATTGTGTATTCTGTTTCGTCGTAATTAAAAAGTTTTCTATTAGTCTACTTTAATATTTATTCACAACAGGAACATAAATTAAGCTATACGATGGTTCTGTATCATTGTATAGCTTAATTCATGTTTTGATGGTCTTTCGTATTTTTATACTTTATGTATATAAGCAAGGAATACATTTTTCATAAATTTGTACTGATTTCAGGACATTAAAATTCATTCTGATTGTGATTGTGGCAGTCCTCAGTTTTTTTAAAATTAAAACTAGTTTTTAAAGTGTATTTAATTCACAATAAAAGCAAGTAACTCTCCACTTACTGGATGGTAATGGTGCTCTATATTCTGTCTCTTGTGAGGCATAGAGAGTGGATGGTTCGTGTTGCGCAGTCTCTTATTGACCTCATGACCCTAACAATTTGGAAGACAGGATTTTTTACTAAAGTTCCGCCCTAAATCAGTTGTATTATCCCTTTAATTTCTATTTGCAATAGGCCCTGTTTGAATTTAAATGCATTTATAGTTGTTTTGAATAAGGTATATTATAGGATTAGGATTCGTAGTTGTCTCATGCAATCATTTATCATGACGTGTTTACAGTATGTTGTATTTTATTGATTCTTGATGGAAATAAATCTTATCGTATCCTATCGTAACCAACGAATGGATTGAATAGATTAATTTAATTAATAGGCTCATCATCTATCCTGCGAATAAGAATACCGTATGGCCTGACGTCATAAACCCCTTTAGATGGGTCTTGTTTTGGAGACAACCAATAATCAGCAGAAGCTGCAGTATCCTTTACTGGGATGGTTATAAGGTGACCATTATCTTGATTTGGATTGATCCGATTCTGTAGAGCTATTTGGTACGTGTTACCCTCAAATTCGAATGTTTCTACAAATTTCTCTGCAACCAAGTGAAGAGAGGGCGTGGTTATTATTCCATTTAACCCGTATGACGCCTCAGCCTCTACTGGAATGTTATCTGACGTCATCTTTGAGCCATGGTAGCTCACAGGCCACTCCTTAGATGCAGAATTTGTTCGTCCTCCAGGAGGTCCAAGCCAGATGTCATCGTCGTATTCACCCTTAACCTTGATTGCATGCCTAAACCATCCACAGGGTCGCTGATATGGTAGCCCGCCTCTGAAGTATTGAGTGTTACCATCATCCAGCTTGGTGAAATCGTAATTAAATGTCGGATCAAGAAGTGCTTTGTCAAGTTCGTAGTACACAGTTCCCTTCGCGTCTTCTTTGACAGAATGTACGTGGAGAACTGAGCCTTGGTTGATGCCTTCTTTCTCGAGTGATTGCCCCTCTTCAACTGCCCATTTTCTGTGGAACAGCTCAAGTGAGTCTAAAGGAATATTCGACTGTGAGGCTATAAGTCGACGCATTTCCTCTACATTCGCCTTCTTTGACATTCTAACTTTTCCCGTAGAGCCACCGATGCTCTTGAACATCACATCAATGCCAGTTGCATCAACTGCAGTGTCGTCACGGCCATAATCATTATTTTCCTCTTTGTTTAAAACAACGGGGTTAGTTAAGTGGAAAAGATCATGTAAAGTAATCTTATTTCTTCTTTGTTGACCTGAAGGTTTTTCTTCTGGTGGAAGTACAATGACACCAAGACAAGACGAGATTCCCGCTGCCAGCAACTGTGTCGATCGCAGGTCTATTTTCACAGACTATAGAGAAAGGTAGAAGAAAAAATGTCTTATTATTTGTTAATTTTGAAATACCAATTTGTTCCGGAATATATATAAAATTAAATACTTCCCACCTTTTTACCATGTTGGATTAGCTGTTGGCTGACATCGTGTGCTTTTGGTCTCAGATGGTAATCCTCCTGAAGCATCCTAGTCACAAGCCTTTCCATGAACGTTCCAATCGTTGCCGGTATTTTGTACTTGTACCCTGGAACCAAATGAATCTTCAATCCAATCAGCTCCCTCTCGACCTTGTCCTTTAAATTGTCATCCAAAATACCACAAAATATAATCCCCATACTGAAAATATCCGCCTGGGCATTGTAATAACCTGTTGGCACTTCTGGAGCCATGTATGCATACGTTCCGGTTATCGTGGCCATGTAGAGTTCCTCCATTTTCTTCGTATCATCTGATTTAAAAACCTTAGCCAATCCAAAATCAGCAATCTTAGCAACATTTTGGCTGTCAACCAAAATGTTGGCGGGCTTCAGATCTCGATGTACAATTTTGAGGCTATGAAGATGTGCTATGCCATTCGCTATGTCTTGGAGTAAACACATGCGCTTCTCTTTATCAGGACGTTTGGATTTTATGAAACTGTATATTGGTCCAAATGTACAGTATTCCAAGACAATATAAAGCGTATTATCGTCTGTGAAGCTTTTGATATACTTCACAACATTTTTATGAGCGGCGATTTGAAGAGCTTTGATCTCAATCAAAACAGAAGCATCTAAGGCCAATTCTTTAATTCGCTTTAATGCCACTGTCTCTTGCGTAGAATGTTCCACTGCTTTATACACGTCACTGAACGCACCTGTCCCCAGACGGCTTACTATACAGTAACCGTTTACATCCTGGTTATCTTCTAGTCTCCTGCTTCCAGTGGACCTTATATTTCCAGATCCCGTTTGGTAACTATTTAAGAAAGGAAAAATGAATAAGATCAATTAGTATTGAATGAATGTCTATGCCTAATGGTCTGTTATGCGATCAACGACAATATATATTGTGTTAATGTTTTATGTAATTAGAAATGTTTATATTGTAAGGAGTAAAAGGATGAATCTGAGAGTAAAAACTGGGATTCATACTCGTAGATTATTCTTCTTAGGCCTACTGTTTACAATTAATAATATATATATTGTCAATAAAATTATAATCATTTGTAAACTTACGGTTTATTTCGTGACACAATCGGTTCCGTTGGCTGTGGAAGGACAAATTAATATAGTATTAAAATATAATAGTAATAGTGTAACAAGAAGTAATAATTAATGTCATTATCATTATCATTATTATCATACATTATTGCAGCACTTATATAGCAATACTTTATAAAGATCAAAGAGCTGATTTTTACTAACGGACTGCAACATTGAAATGCTTCTAACATATAAAACCGGGAAAATGAGAAAAAAATAAAACAACGCAGATGAAACCAAACACCACCACACTGTTCCATAGATATGTAAGGTGCAATGCCAACCAGGACAATATACACAGGTGCCCGAATGATGTTGGCATCTAGTCCTAGTCAATTCCTAATCACAGAGAAACAATAAAGTTTTCAACATTTTCTTATTTTAAGTATTTTAAGTAAGAATGAAATACGAATGATGCGTAGTTTGTTATTCGTTCTAATAATGTGATACATAGGAAATGTTTGCCGATGAGAAGTTGTGAGTGAGTTGAAGTGGAGTTTTGAGAGTCATTATCATTAACATTATCAATATCATCATCATCATTAGTTGGCTGAGGATTTTTTTGACAAGAAAATATCTGAGAATTATAAAATGAATAAGTTTTCGTAATGTTGATTTGTATGAGTGAGGATCTCCAATTTAAGATTGTTGCTAATAGTTAGACCTGTAAAGTGTACACCTATCAATAAGAGGGGAAAGGTGGATGGTGGAATAAGGCCAAAAACATAAGCCCTTACTGAATACGACACTGCATACTGAATGTTCAATTTATCCATCTGCATTATAAAAAACAACTTTAAAAGACCAACAGAAAATTGTTATTATGAAAAGTAACAATAAATGGTTGCAAAATTTGGAACTAATTGATAATACAAAAATATTAAATTTTACACACTGTTTAAAATATGGGAAAAAATTGCTCAAGACTGTTTAAAACTTTAAAATTGTTAACACTGTAAATTGTTAATGAATTAATTAAATAAATTCATTTTTATACTTTGAAGGAGAAAAAAAAAGACTGCCGGAATAAAAGTAGGCCTTTATAACAAATAATAAATACATTACTGTATAATGTATTTATTATTTGTTATAATAATGTTATTTGTTATAACAAATAATGAATACATTATACGTTAATATTTATATAATAATAAAATGATAATGATAACAATAACGATAATATATTAAGTGTTTGCAGTAAACCACGTAGATGGTTCTGAAAAAAACAGTTCTTTTCAGAACTCTTTACGTGGTGTACCGCAAGCATTTAATAGGCCTAAATTATTTCTTCGCCATGGAAACAGTATTTTGATGATGATAATAATAATAATAATAACAACAATAATAATAATAATAATAATAATAATAATGATGATGATGATGATGATGATGATGATGATGATGATGATGATGATGATGATGATGATGACGATGATGATGACGATGATGACGACGACGATGATGATGATGATAATAATAATAAGAATGAGTCCCATGACATGAAATTTGTTGAGAGAGATCATTATATTCTTGAACTTACTTGAGCATCATATTGTATAAGTTGTTGGTAAACTTCATGTGCCTTTGGTCTAACGTGGTAATCTCTCTGCAACATGCTAGTTATAAGTTTTCGCATGAAGTCATCCATGCCCTCGGGAGCGGTAAATTGGTAATCATGAATATTATGCATTACCAAACCAAGACATTTAGGTTCTATTTCTTTTTTCATTTCTTCACTTATGGTGACACAAAAAACCAACGCCATACTAAAAATATCAGCTTGTATGTTGTAATGCTTGTTGTGTACTTCTGGAGCCATGTAAGCAATAGTGCTACCTGTGACCATGTATATTTTATCAACATCTCCTGTACTTCCAGGTCCCATTAAAACTTTAGCCAATCCGAAATCAGCTATCTTAGCAACACGTCTGCTGTCAACTAACACATTAGCTGGCTTTAAATCTCGATGCGCGATATGTATTTCATGGAGATATGCTAATCCTGCTGAAATATCGATCATAAATTTTATTCTTTGTGTTTTGTCAGGTCGATGCTGTGTCAAAAATTTCTCCAAGGAACCAAACTCACAGAATTCTAGAACAATACATGCTTGTTCGGAGTCACTGATAAAATCAAGAAATTTAACAATGTTTTTATGATCAGCTTTTCTCAGTGACGTCACCTCAGATTCTACCTTTTGGTCGTCGACCTCTGTCAGTGTTTTAACGGCAACAACTGCTTTAGTAGTACGGTGCTCAGCCTTATATACGTTGCCGAAATGACCTTTTCCTATCTTGTCTCCCAGTATATAAGGAAGTGAGTTTGCTTGTTTCGTGGTGTGTCCTTCAATGAGAGGCACTTCTGTTTGAGGCTTACTACTTGGAGCACCCATCATACAGTATTTATTGTAGATAATCTTTTGACAAATAGTGCAAGGGTGGTTATATCAAAATTCCTGTACTAGAATAAAAGTAATTTTATTATTAGTAATAAATATCAATACGTTCATCATAGACACAGACCATAGGGGAAGGGCAACACACCCCCTACATAGGGCTTAAGGTCCCCTCCAATTTTTGAGCGTGATGTAAGTCAAGAAGATGCATGAAAAATGTTAAATGAACTATATATAAATGATACAGAATATAAGGAAATAGCGTTCTCAGTTAGTAGTAGTTATGCCGTTAAATTAAAATTACGAATCTGATAAAAAAAAATCAAGAGAATTGGCCTTTCATTTTGACTTATAATGGCGATGTGAAGATAATGATAAATTTTACTATATAGAGTGTTTTTCCGGCCATCTATTATTTCCTCAAATTAGTGGGGCTGAGGTAAATTTGAACTCATGTACCCCCTCCCCCTCTCATTTAATAACAGATCTTCGCCCTTGATAATATTTTTTTTTAATCACACATTTAATATAATAGTTAGTAGACATGATACTGATTATATAATAATTGAATATAGGTCTAATAATGAAATTTTGGTAACAGTGGCGAACCCAGGAATTCGAAATAGAGGGGCATAGGGAGGGACCTTCACAGATGGAGAGTCTAGACCACATCAGCCCCACAATGGTTGAAACTATAAAGTAAGAAAATTAATGATTATGGAACTTTAGATGGCCGGAAATGGCACTCTCTGACATAATATTTATTAATGTTTTTCTTTTTTCCCCATTTAAAAAAAAGATCATTTAGAAAAAACTGGAGGATGGGGTGGCTCGCCCCCTCCCCCTCTTCTTTTAATCCGCCACCGGGTAACGTTGGTTAACAAACAATACTAGGTACTGGGTACGGTAAATATATGGATAACTGCCTTCCAGTAAATACTGAGTATATGGATAACTGTTCTATCAGTTAGTGAAGGCGATTAAGAAACTATATTATCATTTAAAGAACAGTAGAATACAGTACCGGGTACTTACGAAGTCCAATATTATTTAATATGACCAATGCATGGAACGTAAATTGAATGTTTACACGCATACTTGTTAAAACTATGCTCTACCTTCGAAAGAGAACCTTTGGCAATGTTTAGAAAAATACATTCTGGTTTTCCCGATTATGGCGGAAGTATACGTCATAAACCATTGATGTGCGCATGTTTTCCAAATCTATTGCATTATAATTATATTATGTAGTCGTCAAGTTTCTATACACAATATTCAACCAAGAAGTGGGAGATTGAAGTTTTTATATGCCAGAGTGGGTGGGGAGAGGGGTGAAGATTGAGATTTGAGGACATTATGGTCCGATGACAGGCCCGTATGCAGGATTTTCGATGGGGAGGTGCGTTTTGAGTGACTTGGATGGGGGACCGCATAGGGCTCCCCGTGGAGTGGGGCAATCCCCTTGAAGCTCCGACAAATTAGCATTCGAGGACCTTATAAGGAATTTCTGAAACCCATAATTCGTAATATTTTATTAAACTTTCATTCATTTTGGGTTTTGTTTAGGAATCTAAAGCAGTCTCAGACCTAAATTTAATTATATACCGGTATGCCTAATTTTAATTTTTTTTTCTCTATTTCTTTTATAATTTTAGAGGGTGAGGGGTAGGCGGTTCGCCTCCCCTCCCCCTTGAATCCACCAATGTTTTAACTTTTTATGTCTCTACATCTGTAGGCCTACAGATAACATGGATCCATCTGCAATCACTGGAGCTGATAATTTCCAACTGATTTCGTAGCACATTATTAAAAATCAACGGTTAGAAGAGCGCAGGCAAATAAAATGCAATGCATACTATAGCATTTCACGATGATTATTAAAGATTTTAGTGAAATAATAGGTTTTAAAAAGTGGATTTTTTTTAATTGAGGGGTCCAGGGGCAGAGGCTTGGAAGGGGTTTGTGAGAAAAAACCTGGGAGGCTGACAAATCTGAGGTTCTTATATAATGGAATTCTCAAACACATAATTCGTGAATATTTCATCTAAATTTTCATTAATTTAAGTGTTTTTGAGACCTGAAGATGAAGAAGTAACATTATAGGCTATGTCCTGTGCATCTGTAGGTCTACCAATAATTTTCCATATTATGCGTCAATCTGCAATCACAGGAGCCGATCAATTCCAAACAAATTTCATACCAAATTATTAAAAATCAACGGTTAAAAGAGCTGCAAATAAAATGTTTTGTTTGTTTTGTTTGTTTATTATTTATTGCCCTCATTATTATAACATCAAAACAAAAAAATCAAGTACATAAATGCACAAAAATGAGAGCAAGAGGATAACCCTATAAGCTATATGAGCTTGTTTCCATAGGGGTCCTCGACCAATAAAAATAGAAGCAAATATTAAAAAAAAAATGAAAAAAAAAATGCAATGTATGCTATAACATTTCGAGGGCAGAACTATAAATTATAGTTATTATTATTATTATTATAATTTAATTTAATAAACAGTAGGTCCCTGGCTGTGACGGAGACAGTGGGCAGGGAGAAGAGGAGAGAGTTCTCTGCTTCTCCGTCGGGTAGGTCAAAACCTGGATCCAACCACTTTTCTTTATTTGTTTATATTTGATTTATTGTTTACTAATTAAATAACTTAACTAGAAGATCTAAATATGTTGTAAGCGATGAACTGATAATAAATCATATCCTCTAATGACATTTTTAAATTATGAGTTTGTGAATTTTAGGATCGAAAAATAAGGTTATCTAGAGAATAGGTTTGTTTATGCTTACCGACATGCCTTAACACAGCATTATTTTTTTATTACGGAACTTACAGCTAACACAATAGGACTTTTAATGTTTGTGTTTATGCCCCGATGGCTGCAAATAATGTCAAATAGACCTAAAGTAAACGTTTCCCTTGCAATGCTGACGAACAATTTCCCGTTTTATGTTGTCGACATTCATAGAATCATCGGCGAGTCCAGTTAATACTCCGCAATGTATACATTTAGACTTACTGTACTGAATTTATTTTGAGAATCAACGTCTCATTAATTATATCTTTAAACGTGGTCATAATATATGCAACTGATGAATTTATTAAAAAATATAAAGACATAATAAAGTATAATGAAAGTACATAAAATGATTTCCTAGACATATTTATTTACAACAAACAGTATTTATTCGGCTAAATAATAATATAATATATAAAAGTGTAATTACTGTACTATACATCTGCTTAAAATCAGGTTAAAAAATAACTGGGTTATTCGAGCTCTCAATTTCTATCATAAACCCTAAATTAAAATCCAGGTAAGCCATTACATGTACTGTACTCAAGAACGTACTATGTACACTTTTAATCCTTGATGTATACTGACGAAAATTAATATTATTCATCTTCTGACTTCTTAAGGTCTATTTTGTTATGCACTACTTCTATATTCCGGTGTCATTGAAAACATATTTTTACAGTATACTTACTATCATCTCAATAGGCTTTGCGTTTGTAATATTTTTTTTCTCTTTAGTGATGTTTATACCCACTTTTATTTCTTTTTTTCCTTTATCTGTTCACATCGTATTCTAATTACAGTATATGTTTAATACACTCATGATAAACTAAAAATAACACATTTGTATGCAGCAATTAAAACAGTTGAATTAAGAAATGTAGAATTCGTTTATAATACAGTATTCTGAATTTTATTATTTGATTTTCAACCTTCAGCGAGTGACTAGATGGGGATATTTTATGTTGCTCTATAAAGATTTGAACCCCGATCATATTGTTTATTATATATACCTAATTCACTACAAGCAAAGAAAATTAATTTGTTCTTTTAAACACAATGTAGGTAAGTATATTTTAGCAGAACTTATCAGCCGATTGTATTCAAAGGTGATTAACTTATTTAATTAATAGGCTGACCATCAATCCTGCGAATAAGAATACCGTATGGCCTGACGTCATAAACCCTTTTAGATGGGTCTTGTTTTGGAGACAACCAAAAATCTGCTGAAGCTCCGGTCTCTTTACCCGGAATGGTTACCAGGTGACCATTCACTGCATTTGGATTAATCCGATTCTGTAGAGCTATTTGGTACGTGTTACCCTCAAATTCGAAAGTATCTACAAATTTCTCTGCAACCAAATGAAGGGAGGGCGTGGTTATTATGCCATTTAATCCATTTGACGCCACAGCCCCAATTGGAATATTGTCTGACGTCATATTCCAGCCATGGTAACTTACAGGCCACTCCTTAGCTGTAGACTCTGTTCGATTGCCTATATTTCCAAGCCAGATATCATCTTCGTATTTACCTTTAACCTTGATTGCATGCCTAAACCACCCACAGGGTCGCTGATATGGTAGCCCACCTCTAAAGTATTGAGTATTACCATCATCCAACTTGGTGAAATCGTAATTAAATGTCGGATCAAGAAGTGCTTTGTCAAGTTCGTAGTACACCGTTCCCTTCGCGTCTTCTTTGACAGAATGTACGTGAACAACTGAGCCTTGCTTGATGCCTTCTTTCTCTAGTGATTGGTCGTTCTCAACTGCCCATTTTCTGTGAAAAAGTTCAAGTGAGTCTAAAGGAATATTCGACTGTGAGGCTATAAGTCGACGCATTTCCTCTACACTCGCCTTCTTTGACATTCTAACTTTTCCCGTAGAGCCACCGATGCTCTTGAACATCACATCAATGTTAGTTGCATCGACTGTGTTGTCACAGCCATCCTTATTTTGCTCTGTGTTCAACACAACATCGGGGTTTGTTAAGTGGAAAAGATCATGCAATGTAATCTTATCTGTTATTCGATGACCATCTGGAGGTTTTTCTCCTGGTGGAAGTACGATGACACCAAGGCAAGACGAGATTCCCGCTGCCAGTAACTGTACTGATCGCAAGTTTATCTTCATGGACTGTGGAGAGGGAATTAAACATTTTTTATTTACGTTTCAAATAATAAATAAGAATAATAATTAAAATAACAAAACTTGCTCAGAAATTTATTCTGGAGGTTATAAGAAGTTCATATTAGCAAATATCTCACCTCTTTACCACATTGCATTAACTGCTGGCTGACATCGTGTGCCTTTGGCCTCAAATGGTAATCTTTCTGAAGCATCCTAGTCACAAGCCTTTGCATGAATGTTCCAATCGTTGCCGGTACCTTGTATTTGTAACCTGGAACCTTATGCATCGTTATTCCAATCAACTGTTTTTCAATTTGTTCTTTTAAATCGTCATCTAAAATACCACAAAATATAATTCCCATACTAAAAATGTCCGCCTGGGAATTGTAATGGCCTGTCATGACCTCGGGAGCCATGTATACGGGGGTGCCAGCCAACGTACCCATATATAATTCCTCAATTTTTTTCGTAACCTCCTCTAACTTTGAAAACACTTTAACCAATCCAAAATCAGCAATCTTAGCAACATATTGGCTGTCGATCAGAATATTGGCTGGCTTCAGATCTCTATGTACAATTTTGAGGCCATGAAGATGAGCAATGCCAGTCGCTATGTCTTTAATGAATCCCATACGCCTCTTTTCATCAGGTCACTTGGATTTGATGAAACTGTCGATTGGTCCAAATTCGCAGTATTCCAAGACAATATAAAGTGTATTGTCATCTGTGAAGCTTTTAATGTACTTCACAACATTTTTATGGGCGGCGATTTGAAGGGATTTAATCTCGATCAAAACGGAAGGATCTAGGGCCAATTCTTTAATTCGTTTTAATGCAACTGTCTCATGTGTAGAGGGTTCTACTGCTTTATACACGTCACTAAACGCACCTGTACCCAGAAGGCTTACTATTTGGTAACCACTGACATCCTCACCAGGTTGTAGCTTGCTTCCTAAATTGCCCATATTTTCAGATGCCTCTTAGATAACTATAGAATATGATTGGTAATAAGATCAGTTAATAATAACCAATTGCAATATCAGTCCTTCTACACAATACGAATGCGTTCTCGTATAGTCTACAAATGCTGCACAGCGGGTTTTTCCAACCATGACCCAAATAGAGTACGCTGCTTGGAATGTTGCTATAATTAGCTTTAATAAATTCACCTTCGCCCCCCCCCCCATCAGTTCCCCATTTCAAGACTAGATACGCCACTGCTTTGTACGACCATGTGACGTATGTACGATGGCCCACAAGGGACACACTGCAAAGAAAAAGAAATGCTGCAAACAAAAAAGAAATCATGGAAACAGAAAAGAAACGCTGCAAACAAAAAAAGAAATGATGCAAAAAAGAAATGATGCAAACAAAAATAGAAACGATGCAAACAAAAATGGAAACGATGCAAACAAAAATAGAAAACACCAGCAAACAAAAAAATGAAACGCT